CGGTTCCTGCTAAGGGCATGTACCTCAGTTGCAGTTAGTCCCTGGCCCCAGTTTGGGTCGCATGGGTGGCAACCACTCCATGTGTCTCTCACATGGATGTTTCTCTCTCTCTCTCTCTCTCCCTCCCTCTCCCCCTCCCATTCTATCTGAAGATAAATGGAAAAAAAAAAGTCCTCAGGTAAGGATTAAAAAAAAAGAAGTGCCTCTAGGATCAACACCTGTGTAAGGGAGAAGACAGGAAGTGCTGGATCTAGAATGACCCTTCTAATTTGTCCCTAGCTGGGCTGAAGTGACCGGGCTTTTCACGTCCTCCTTCCTCCAATCAGGTCACTGCTTTTGGAGCTCCATGAGGGCTGTGGTGTTGCAGGAGGTGCTACATGAAGGTGCTGACCCTGAGGCTGTCATGTCCCCTACACACCCAGCAGCAGTGGTATCGAGTCCTCTACTGAAGCACTATCTGGGGGTGTGTCACAGTGTCCACCACTAATTCTAACTTCATATTTTAAAGTGGAAACTCAGGGGCAGAAAGGTGTCAGTTACAAACCTGAGTCTAAAATCCAGAATTTATCATTCCCTGATTTTTACTATTCTAATCAGAAAAATACAAAATAAAATGAGGGTGTCTATTTAGGAAAGAAGGAGCAAGGAAATACTTACTTGGTTTAAGGAATATTCTTTAATGGATAAACAAGAGGAATGAGTCCAAACAATTCTAAGAAAGTTAATAAAGAGAGTACTAAATTGTCAAATTCATCACTTAAATATGTCTAGAGTATTATACATCAAATTTCTATACATAAATGTTTTGTTTTTGAATGGCTGTAAGTACACTTTACAGGGTATTCTGTTCCCTACATACATGTTACCAACACATACTATACTCAATGACTGCTTTTTCTAGATCTTCCCTGGGTCTCAGTGGGAAAAGCATTAAATTGATAACTATGCTCAGAGCTGACATAACAAGGTGAGTGTACGGAGTTTACTCAGCGAGTTAGTTCATTTGCTTGGTTCTTCATTTTCTAATTTTACTTGGAAGTGGTTGGACACAATAAGACAACTTTCCATTTGAAATGCCATGCTTAGTAATAGGAACACATGTTCTTTGCCCATATGCATAAATATGGTGCTTTTATATCATGCCTCCCCTCATACACGGTCCTTGGGACACACTGTCCTGTCTGTTCTGTGTTTGCCATGCTCCTCTCTACCATAGGGCTTCCACTCTCATTCACTGACCCCCAACACATCACATGACTGACCTCCTTTCCTTTCTGGGGTGATGGCACTAAGGTGACCTCCTCAGGGGCCCACACACTCTAAGTTCTCCACACAATCTAAGCCAAATATCCTTTATATTAACTTATCGTTTTATCTTGGTAACACAATTATCTCATTCATATATTTATCTGTTGTTATTCACTACTGATTCTCCAGCACATATGAGTGCCTGGTATGTAAATATTCAATATTCATGTGAAAAAATGAATGTAGATGATTCATGTTTATGATTTATATAATTTTAAATACACATCAGAAACATAGCAATTGTAAAATTATTTGTCTGGAGGGAATCAATTCATTCTATACTTCTGAATAAATATGAATTAAAAAGGGGACTGTGACTATCTTAATAGCAACATTTTCTTACACAAGCTAAGGTATTTTTAATCAGAATCTTCTTAAAGGACATAATGATATACAAAATGAATTTGTTTCTGTTTCCACAAATAATGTATTTTTCAAGGTAACAAAACAACTGTGTGGGAGACAGTCTTCTAATTGGTGAAACATTTTAACAAAAAAATAATGCAAAGTCTTAAGAGTAACTTTCCAATTTTACATTAAAAACACGCCCATGATAAAGGAAGTCTGTATGAGAGAGACAAACAAAAACAAGCTATAAATTAGGCCACTAGACTTACAATAATATTTTTGCAAGAAGCTTTTATAATTTTTGGCTAGCTTCTAAGCTGGGAATATAAGATGTCCCAGAAGATTAACTGAGTTTAGGAATTCAACCTCTGACAGGGTCAAATGAAATGTCCTTTGTGATCCTGGCTAAACATTTACCCTAACACTCAAATATGGACCATTCCATTTATCTAAGTTTATACTTTCAGTGCAACATTAAATACTTTATTTTTAGCTGGACAAGGTATTAAATTCTTACTTTTATCTGCACCTATTTCAAGTTATAAAGTTCTATATACAATTCTCTTGTCTTGATTAGGTGAAGGTTCTTTTATTTTCCTAAAACTCTCTTTCTAGTTCTTTCTCTCAATTCTGTAGTAATTCTATAAACTTGATTCTTGGTGGGAAATACTATATTCATTCTACCCACACAATTAATTTTAATGAGAATTTGATTGTATCTTCTTTCAAACATCTTTTATTTATTTTTATTATTTTTTAAATTCTCACCCAAGGATATTTTTTCAATTGATTTTTAAAGAGAATGGAAGGGAGGGAGGGAGGGAAAAAAGAGAGAGAAACATCCATGAGAGAGACACATTTGTTGGTTGCCTCCCGTACATGCCCCAACCAGGGCCAGTAATTGAACCTGCAACCCAGGTACATGCCCTTGACTGGATATCAAACCTCTCAGCCACACCAGCCAGGGCTCAAATATCATCTTTTGAGATCAATGAGGAATTATTAGGTATAGGAAAGCCTACTCCTAATTTCTTACAGAGGCCAGAGACACAGTCATAAATGGGACTGATGGCAGGATGATAAAATCACAGCAGCATCTGAAGAGCTGATGCAGTAAAAGAAAGCCCTTTTAATATCTTATGAAGTAGAGCAGAAATGAGCAGAAATAAATCCTAGAATTATTTTTTAAATGCATTTGGCAGGTAAGATTTTAAATACTAATCAACCACTAACTGAAATTAATGTTAGTTTCTCCAAATTATCAGGCAGTTGTCCTAGCCAATGGTAACATTAAAGTGACATGTAAAAATTAAAATAGAACCTTGAATTCAGGCAAGATCCTTATGTAATCATCTTTCACACAAAGACTAATTCTAGGCTGTGTCATAGTCTAACTGATCTTATACATTACTTAAGATGTTATGCTAAATAATGTAACAATTCGGGGGGAGGAGGGGATTAAATATGGGCCTTTCTCACGTGCCACACATACCTTTTAACCTCACAGAATTAAAAGGTTTCCCAAATGAAATGTCAAGATATTTATTTTACCCAAGTAACATTGTAACAAGTCTCAGATGGCATTGTTACCAGCTTCAAAAAAAACACAACAGAAAACAAGGTACAAAGCTAAGTTAAAGGCAACTTTATTACAATAATTTTCCAAACTTCAAAATGCATTTAATATTGCATTTAGATGTAATATATAATACATTATATTACAAGACAGAAAGCATTTATGGTCAGATATTTAGCTTGAATGTATTGCCCAAAACAAAGCTTCCTAGAAATAGCAGCAATACACAATAGTTTATATCACTAAGTAAAATATTTCTCTGATATCTCATAAAGAACCATTTATATTTCAATTTATTTTATGTTTATTCCTCTGATTTAAAAACAAAGCAAAGCTATATTTTCTATATCCTACTAGTCAATGCCTAGAAGTTATCTATATCCTAATAATATCCACTAGCTTAGAAATATTTCCTTTGGTAAAAAACAGGATTAAATAATAATAATAATAACTAAACCAAACAAACAGTGTATTTTTCCTCCATTGCATAGAGGGGCAAAATTCTCTTCTTTTCTTTTTTGGGAGCCAAGTCTGGGTTTCCTCCTCTTCATATAGCCCTCCTACATATTATATGCTTCAAAAGATACCCAAATCTATGATGAAATCTATTCTAATAAAGTCATCTAGTTTTTATTCACAACCCACTCTGATCATTATGCAATAATGAACTTAAAAGTAACCTTAAGAAATGTGGTACCATAAAGGAACTATTTTCCAAATTAGACAAGGACATTATTTGCTCACCCATCTCTGCTTCAAATGACCTACCAAATTCAACTTACAAAAATAATTCTTTTTCCAAGGTCATTACCCTGATAACATTGGAAACATGTAAATCCACTGAACAGATATAGTCCCTTAATATATTATCTTGGTTTAACATCTATCTGTAAGCTACCAACAAGCACAATACATGTTCATCATCCTAGTTTTCACAACAGCAGGAAATCATTAGAAAAGTATAGAAAAGGTTCTATTGTTTTCATAAGGCAAATTTAATACAGATTTTGCTATGAAGCTGGAGAAAAGAAAAAGTGAATAAAAAGGTATGTGCTGGCTGCTCAAGGGGGCAAAGCTCATAAATCACTGTACGTTAAGAGCACGTGCTGAAACTTCATGGTGCCAGTCACGTAACTTTGTGTATTTGGGACTAAAGACGTGAAGGGGTATCTTTTCCCTGTGGAAATATAAGGAGAGAGAGAGAGAGAGAGAGAGAGAGAGAGAGAGAGAGAGAGAGAGAAGAAAAGTGATAGAAGAGTCATAAGAAAGAGCAAGAAAGTTTCTACACGTTGTTCATCATGCAGAAAGCATGCCTCACAAAGCTTAATTTCACACAGCTGTGTTATTTAATAGCAAAAGACTTTAAGGATACAGCATTTTTATAAATACAAAACTTAATCTATACAGCCCTCTTGGAAACATCCATTTTCATGCCCAAAATAAAGTGACTGCAAGATCACATGAACTCATTCAGAGACAATAGTTTTAGCAAAGCACCCCCAAATACACCCCTCTGCCCATTTTTCAATACTAAAAAAAATAAACCTTAGACATAAAATCCAGACAATATCTACTAACTATAAAATCTGTAAGTTATCTGTTTAAGTTCCACAAAAGGCACCACAGTTAAATGCTTAGCTTCTAGTTACAAAGACAGAATGCCATACCGTTACACTGGAAAATGTAAACAACACACTGAGATCATTCATGAAAGAAAAGCATCCAATTTACAAAGAAAACAGAAAAAAAAGAAAAATGGACAACTTACTTCGCCTTCTTTGTATTCTCAGGTTCAGCTTCTTTCACTGAAATATAACAAGCAACATCCAATATTAGTTTCCTTTTTAAGCTTTAAAACCACTTAAGCCAGTGATTTTCAGCTGGTGTGCCACAAGAATTTTTAAAACATGCAATACCTGACTATTTAGTCAGGAACACTGACCTCTTTTCCCTTAGATTGTCAAATGAAAAATGACCACAGCCAACACAATAGCCGTCCAGTGTGAATGAATAAAAATTACACCCATTTTTTTTTTCTGTCAGATTGGTAAAAAATATATTTGTTGGTGTGCCGCAGAAATGTAGTAGTTTACGTGTGCCTTAAGATGAAAAAGGTTGCAAATTGATGACTTAAGTAATTGTGTGTGCCAATCAATACCAAATGGTCAAGTTGCACAGAGCCACTAAAAAAATTCCCTATCATCTTGTCACCAGATGTATACTACAGTCAGTACTACTGTCACTACTGCTTCGACACTTCTCAGTGTAACTCTCCTGTGCTTGGCTTCTCGTTTACAATACCCATATTATGTATGGCATAATTTAAAAGTAAACTGTCTCAAGAAAATTATTGTTTTCCAGTAACTGTCTACCTATCTAAATGCTACTTCTCTGTGGCAAGGAACATTCATCTATTAGAGTCCCTAGGTATTCACTTACGATGTTCAGTCCCAGTGATCTGAGCCAGGATGCGGAAAGAGCGAGACTGAGTTGTGCCAGTCCTCGGATGCCAGTCTTCAGTATCCTCAATCAGTCTCTTCTTGCTTGCATCACTGTGAGTAGGTATGTGATAAAACTCTGTATTACGCTCCACGATGTGCTTTCTCGGTGGGCTAGGACAAGGAAAGAAAAATAAAATGTATAATTATATTAAGAACAAATATCCTCTGCCAAGTTATTTATAATGTATTCATTTAACCCTCAATATTACTTTTATATATTTTGCTTCTGCAAGCATACACAGCTTCAATTTATTCTTAAAAAGAGCACCCTTCTAAAATAGACTTTTTTTTTAAATTAGGAAAAAAATGAGAAAACAAAATTTTAAATACTAATATGAAATATTATTATCTATTCAACAGAAAGGTTACCGTTTAGGTGGGATTTTCCTTTTAAAGTGACAAAGGAAGGCAGCAGAAGAGAGATTTCCAACATGAAGAAAAGAAAAGAAAAAATTAAGAAAAGAAGAAAACGGAGAAATTAAAAAGTCCACAGAAGTTAAAATAAAACAATTTGAAATTATGTACTTTTATTGTTCATCTAATCAGATAAAACACAGATAAGAACTACATTAGCAACCACTGCTAAATATCAATATGCTGCTAAAATGTATCAGCTTTCACAAAATTAAATGATCACGTCTTTACTAGGCCCAGGAACCAAGAATGGTTAAGTACAGGCTAAACCAGCAATTCCAAACACAATTTTTAAAAGGGACAGAAGCATTATTTTCTAGTTTTCTCATTCACGTGTACAGATAGATATCCCTTGTTCTTAAGACTGTGCACAGAATTAGCACAGTGAAGAAAAGGTATGTTATACCAGAAACCAATGCAATATTTATCGAAAGACCCACATGCAAATCTTGGCTCCATGATTTTTCAGATGTGTGATTTTGGACAAGTCACTCTCACTAAGACTCTGGTTTTTTTTTATTTATAAGACAAGAATATCACATACAAAGTCATACTGTTCTGAGGATTACATGAAATAGTATATGTGAAAGGGATTTGTAAAATACAGAGTTTGCTAAGAACACTCATTTTTCTCTTAATAAAGCATAAATATTGGAAAATTAAAAGTACACCATTTTAACACTTTAACCTAAAATCTAGTGAACATAATAAATATTCCTTCCATCTCTCCTCCTTTCCCCCAAAATAGAATAAATGCAAGCTTTTGGGAGCTACTGTTTAATTTCAGAAGAGAAAAAGGAGCCCGAGTCTGGACTAGCGGACTACTGACTCAAGATTCAAGTGGAGATAGTGCCCTAAGAGAGTCAGAGGTGGGCAGCACTACAAATCAGTGCTATCAGAATTCCACATGACTGTTGTCATTTTAACAGTTACACTATCAAAACTGTCTCAGTACACTGCAGGCATTTTTGTCCAGTAAAGAACATGACAGAGTTAACGTTAAGACTGGCTTCAGAGTCAAGCAGCCAGTGTGTGCTTTATGCAAGTCATGTCATTCCTCCAAGTCTAGATTCTTTCCCTCTGAGAAGTGGGGAAAGCATCTGCCTCAATGGGTTGTTCTGAGCAATAAGGAAGGTAGATAATGTATGTGAAGTGTTTTCCACAGTACCTAATAGTAATGATCTCATATTTTCTTCTATTATTACCAGAAAAATTATTTGTCATGCACGTTCTAAGGCTATGGGTCATCTGCATATATAAGAAACAGAAGCAAAAGTATTTATACACAAAATTAGTAATACTTATTATTATAATGTATGGTAAAATTTTAACATTCCGGAAGTTGAAATATCTAAAATACCTTTTATTAATATTAATCAAGCCTGATTCTTTTAAAAATAGACAACATTTTTAATTAAAAAATAACAGGCATAGATTACTTCATAACCAGTCTTTGGAAGATATAAATTCCTAAGCAGACAATACATTATCTTATGCAATTACTTAAATAACTTTATTTTAGTTATTAAACTTATAGTTTTAAGTTTCTCTATAATTAGTCATTGTAGTTTACACTTAAATAGTGCCAATTTCAGGTATAAGACTATTTTATAATCTTTAAAAGGTTTGGTCTGTAAAAATACAAAACAATAATGTAAAATTAAGACACCAAGAATAATAAAATAACACCACTTAAGAATAGCTGCAACTCACTTGCAAAATGTAATAGTACACCTTAGACTCTGTGACATTTACCACAGCAAAGGTCTTGTGTTAAATGACATGAAGTTTGTAAACATTTACTTAGTATTTTCTGGCTTTGAAACTTTATATTCTGATGACTATGATTAAAAAATAGAATAATCTCAATGATTTTATTTTTTTAAATGTATTTGGGATAGAATATAAACTTATCTAGCAAGAATAAATAATTTATTTCGAAATATAGACACTAAAATTTAGCAAGTTTATTCAATTTAAAATAAAAATACTAAACAGGGGAGGCCCAAAGTAAATTTCGAGCACCAATATACTGTGTATAACACTCACCTATCTCCCTAATATTTAGCTTATTAAGTTTTCCACTGCAGAAGTGTGGGTGCTGTAAAGATACCCACTGAGCCCTGGTTAGTTTGGCTCAGCGGTTAGAGTGTCAGCCCGCGGACCAGAGTCCTGGGTTTGGTTCCCACTAAGGGCACGTACCTTGGTTGCAGTTCGTCCCTGGCCCCAGTTGGGGTCGTGTAGGTGGCAGCCACTCGATGTGTCTCTCTCACATAGATGTTTCTCTTTCTCTTCCTCCCTCTCTCACTCCCACTCTATCTGAAGATAAGTGCAAAAATGTCCTCGGGTGAGGATAAAAAAATAAATAAAGTTGTTTCACAGGTGGCCTATGCTTAAAAAAAAAAAAAGATACCCACTGATTCATATAAAGTTCTCTAGCATAAGAAACATGTTTCCTGAGCTCCTTAACATATTCGAAAATTCTTGCAAATAAGAAGATATTAACAAAATTTGATGGTGGTGTTAAGTTGAAAACAAGACAGAAAGTTACAGAGAGACAATAATGAAAATCACAAAAGGAACCACTGATTAGGTACTTACATGGTGCCGGGGTTACTGAAAGAGAAATTATATACACACACAAAAATGTGATAGAGGAGAGAAGACATTGATGTTCCCAGGATGATGTAAAATGGACAAAGATGAGGCCCATAAAAGAAGAAAAGGAAAATATGAAATAACAAAATTCAAAACAATGAATTTACATGAAGATGTTACACAAACATCATGCTTCAAAATAACCACGGAAGCACAGACAAACAAAAATGAACAAATGTTAGTCAAATTTTTGTTACACTATCATTATTTGGACAACAGTCTCATCTGCATTTTTGTTTGTTTTCAAAAACACTGAAAAATACTATATATTAATTATACTAGTTCAAGTCTCAAGTTACGAATACCAAGAAAAATACATTATTTTAAAATATTTTAATATTTCTAGGTTTTAAGAAAATTTATTTTAGCATGAACCCAAATTCCTATTATGTTCTTAACAAAAATCACAGAATAAAATAATTATTAGATATAAGATTTGGAAACACATTGTTTCAGAATCATTTTTAAAATCAGAGAGAATAAGAGAAAAATCATTCTTCCAAAATGTAAGTAGTATATAGTAACAGCAAGAGGAATACTCCACTATTTGAAAATTTTCTTAGTTTTTAAAATGTAGTAATTATGATGAAGAAACAGAAGAAGCACAGGGAGTCATAAATAATGGGCTGTTATTCAATCTGCATACTCTCCCCTGTCTATGGCTACCAATGCTCACATTCACAAGCAAATCCCAGTAAGTTTGTAACTGATTTGTAGGAACTCCATAGTTCTGTATTATCAGCAACCTAATTTACTCAGAAAGGCATGTCTGATATGATATAGTAAAGGACCTAGGTTAATAACTTCTAAAGAGGGAAAACGTCAAAACATAATTCACTCACATAGCCTATTAAATATAGAATCATAGAATCATTTTTAGCCCTGGCCAGTTTGGCTCAGCAATTACAGCGTTGGCCTATGGTCCAAAGAGACCAGGTTCGGCTCCTGCTAAGGGTGCATATCTCGGCTGCAGTTTGTCCCCGGCACTGGTTGGGTCAGGGCCATGCAGGAGGCAGCCACTTGATGTGTCCCTTTCATGTTGATGTTTCTCTCTTTCTCTCTCTCTCCCACTCTATCTGAACAAAAAATGAAAAAATGTCCTCGGGTGAGGATAAGAAAAAATCATTTTTATAAATTAACCTTTGAACAACATGGGCGTTACAAGTGCTGATTCCCTGCCGTTAAAAATCCACATACAACTTTTGACTCCCCCCAAATTGTGTTGTCCCCTGATATCCTCCAGGGATTGGTTCCAAAACCCCCTAGGACACCAAAATCCACACATATTTACGTTCTTTATATAAAATAGAGTGAAACAATGCATACAGTGGTCCTTCTGCATCCATGGTTCCCAAACATGGCTCAAAATACTGTTATTGAACTGTGGTTGGTTGAATCCACAGATGTGAAACTCAAGGATAAGGGGTGTCCACTGTATATTTACGGAAAAAATTCCACATAAGTGGATATGTGCAGTTCAAACCCGTGTTGTTCAAGGGTCAACTGTCTATTCATATTCCATTAAGGACAGAGAAGATAAAGTATAAACTCTAGTTTTTCAACACGCTGTTGAATCAATTGTTCTACAAATAAGTTTTAGTCAGTGTAACTAATAATTCATTATAAACTAGTGAGAATAACTGCCTACCAGTTTTAATACTAAGACTGTGCAATGTGGCTGTATTTTCAAACATCAAAGTCAGTTTCATAAACTCAGTAGAGGGCTGTTTCACTGAATGGGGGTGGGACGCAGGGGTAAGTTGATGTCAATACTTTACCAATATTTATTCTTCTCTAGCCAAAATGCAAAGCACTTCTCCTCTGACTTGCTGTTTTAAGTAGTAGGGAAATAGTTTTTCAAAATAACCATCCCTCAACAGAGCAGAATTTTAGATTATACATTTAAACATTATAGTTTCAGAAAACAGTTTGATGTCAACATGAAGTTGCGGGGGGGGGGGTGGTGTTCTGAAGTGTGGTGAAGAAGCGCAAATGGAGGGTTGATTGCTTTCAATGTCAAGATGCCAAATATTTTCATGCATTTTAGAAAATTTGCCCAAGTGAAAGAGCCCATCATACATCACAGTGGCATTTGTGCCCATGTGACAATCAGATGACCTGGCTTTTTACTTTGGCTATGCTGCCTACTTCCCCTCTGCCCTGGGCAAGCTGCAAGCTACAGAAAGAAGCCTCTTCTTCCTCAACCGTGAGTTAGATCACAATTTCTCTCCCTTTCAGACTTGTTGTAAGGGCATATATTTAACATATTTATTTGAAAGCATTCGGAAAACTACACAAATACAGGTTTGTTGTTAGGATAGATCCCTCCAATGCTCAATATAAAAAAGTACTATCAAACCCAATGGTAGTTTAATCACATCATGTACTCATCTAGCTTCAATTTAACCTCAAGTCTCTCATCATTAAAAACAAATATGAATTCAAAGTAACAGAAACAAGCTCAGTTCACCAACAGGTGTTACAGAGGAAGGCACACAAAATGTGACTTCATTAAAACATAGGCTCCAATCTTAAGTCTATCACTTACAAGCTGCCTGATTTGAGAAAATTAAGTAACTTCTCAGCATTCAGTTTAAATGAGAATTAAATCACATAATGTATTTAGAAACACCTAGCATTATGCATAGTAATATCTAATAAATTAGTAAATCTGAATCTTAGTCTTAAATGCATATTTAACTAAATGCTTCAATTTATTTTCCAAGTCCCATTTTTTCCCCCTTTAAAAGTCTAACTGTTTCATTGGAATCCAGTAACTCATCAAAACCTTTCTGCATAAGAATTTAACTTGAAAGAGACAAACAATAAATCAGGGTTTGGGGATTTTTGCACCAGTACATTGGTATGCATATATATATATATATATATATATATATATATATATATATATATCTCACATGAATATGCTTTCTCTTCTATGTTTACTTTGTCTTCCAACAGTCTAGACTGATATACATTACATTCCCCAAAGCATTGCCTCTTTTAAGCCATTACACAGCAAACCCCACATATAGTTCATAACAAAGTCAAACACTAATATTTATTACCATAAAGCAATTCACCACCACATAGCAATGCAAACCAAACTCACTGAAAATACTAAAGTGGTTATTCTAATTTATAGCTGTTTTGCAAAATTTAACTTAATTTTGCAAAAATTGGGCATTCATGCTGTTTACTCATATATAAATCACCATATTTCCTCTCCAGTAATGTGGATACTAACTTTGTCACTTGTGTTTTCTGCAAAGAGAAAAGCATTTAAAAATATTACTACTATATCATTATATTTTGTATCTTCCAAGGCCAGGTTCTTCAAAATACCACATAGGAACTGTTAGAAAAAATTGCAGTCCAATGAAACTGAAATTAACAGAGGATACATGAAAGACTTACCTCTTGAAAGCAGTGGCACATTATAATGCAAGAGCATATGGGAAAGGAAAAGGTAAATCACTTAAACTACTTGATGCAAAATTGCTTCTCTTCCAGTTTGGAATATAAGTCCCCTTTTGCTCTAGAGTACAGAGAGTGTTTTTTTTTTTGTTTTGTTTTGTTTTAAAAAGGAGCAAGCCTAGACCAATAACTTTTATATGTTAAAATAAGATTAAAATTTTCTTCAAGTGACTTGTTCATTATTATTTATAAGAAACAGGAATGCTTACATTATATTAAGAAATATTCTGAAAATATCAACATAATCATAGATTTCATACTATTAGATAGTATGGGAATAACTATTTCTCAGTAATGATGCATAATTTAAAAAAAAATTTTTCTTTATTGATTTTAGGGAGAGAAGAAGGGAGAGGGAGAGAAAGATGGAAACATCGATGAGAGAAAACATCAATTGACCGCCTCCTGCATGCCCCCGACTGGGGATTTAGCCCACAACCTGGCATGTGCCCTGACCGGGAATCGAACTGGCAACCTGTTGGTGCATAGGTGGATACTACGCCACACCAGCCAGCCTTGATGCATAATTAATAAGCACTTATTTGTGTCTTATGTTTACTAATCCTATATAAATTTGGATGGGATGTCTATCAAACTGATAATTAGCTAGTTACTTTAAATCACTTAAAAACTAAGACCTCGCCCTGGCAGGTTTGGCTCAGCAGTTAGAGCGTCCGCCTGCGGTCCGGAGAGGCCCAGGTTCGGTTCCCGCTAAGGGCATGTACCTCGGTTGCAGTTTGTCCCCGGCCCTGGTTGGTCGTGCGGGTGGCAGCCATTCGATGTGTCCCTTTCACATCGATGTTTCCCTCTCTCTCTCTTCCTCTCTCTCCCTCCCACTCTGTCTGTACAAAAAATGGAAAAATCTCCTCGGATGAGGATTAAAAAAAAAAAAGAAAAACTAAGACCTCTTGCTTTGAGGAAAAAGACAACATGCAGTTAACTTTATATCCTTCTGAACTCTTAAATTTTTGGTTACTGGCACATATTATCTTTTAAAAGTAATTAATGAAGGTAACAACTCTCAACTTTGAAAAATGTTTTGTTGCAGATATTTTGTAACATTATAAGAATATGGAAAATTTGCCCTGACCAGTGTGGCAAAATGGTTACAGCTGGCACACCAAAGGGTCTTGGGTTTGATTCCCGGTCAAGGCCACATACTTGGGTTGCAGGTTTGATCCCTGGCCCCATTCAGGGTGTGCTCAGAAGACAACCAATCATTGTGTTTCTCTCACATCCATGTTTCTGGCCCCCTCTCTCTATCTTTCTATCCACCCTACCCCACTTCCACGCTCTCTAAAAATCAATGGGGGGAAAAAAATCCTTGGGTGAGGATTAACCAAAAAAATATGAAAAATTTAATAATCACATAATTAGTGAAATATCAGACAGTGATTTTTTTAAAAAAAGTTTTAGCCCTGATACAGAAAATGCATTGATCGGTATCACAAAATACCTACTCTTCAAAATGACACATTGCTGACAAGTAAAGTGTGTGATTTACTTTTTATTTCTCTAGTCTAAATGTAGTAAGAAAAAGGGCCCTGTAAATTTGTTTTGAAATTTCAGAAAACACACTTTATTTCCCAGTGATCAAATTCTCACTGCCTTAACATCTGGACATTTGAAATTAAGCTATTTTTAAATACACCCAGTTTGCAGATACAAAGCAGTAACCTTGTGAATGATGCCAAATACATAATGATCCCTTTTTCTTCTGAATCTTGCACAGTGCTGGACACCAGACATGTGCTCAATAGTCACATGGCAATTGATTAAGAAGCCACTATAAAGGCCCTATAACTATATACTGTCTATAGTTTCCGTTTGAAAATAATACACTTTAAATCATTTCAAGTTTAATCATCAAAGCTATACTTATAAAACACAAAATTTAAGCTTGGTATTTTCACATGCTTTAAATATAGTATTTTTCCATAACTCAATTTGCTTTTACCTCTAAAGTTTTCCATTAAGAAGACTTCCATATAAAATTTCAAGAAAGTATTAGTAAAGAGAAAATATTTTCGCTCAAACACTTCCTTTAATGGACTTTTTTCTACTGAACTTAGAATTTACTTAACATAGCAAACTTCTGCTTTTAGTTATCTGAAAGGCTAGCATTTGACAGGCAGCATCTGTCTTTTCAGAATATCTACTTTGATTACTCTAAAATCTGTTGTCCTAAAAGAGACACACAAGAAAAATACAACAACCCCGACCGGTGTAGCTCAGTGGATTGAGCCTTGTCCCATTGACTGATGGGTCAATTTCTGGTCAAGAGACATACCCTTGTTTCAGGATCAATCCCCAGTAGAGGGCGTGCAGGAGGCAGTTGATAGATGTTTCTCACATTGATGTTTCTATCTCTCTCTCCCTTCCTCTCTCTGAAAAATAAATAAAAACATTTTTTTTAAGAAAAGAAGAAAAATGCAACCAAACACACCTCTACACTACATACTATTTTTCTTCCACACATGAAAAAGAAATCACCTTCTTTGAAGGACACTAATTTTCCGCAATATATCCATCAAGACTTTAGAAAGCCACTCACAACCACAGAACCTCATGTAGGGCCCATAGCTGTTCCTCCAGACCTCTGCCTGCTTTTTCTCTCAGCAGCAGCCTGGAACACAGCCACCTATTTTTCAAAGCCCCACAGTTGTCATGGCAGCAGTGCTACCCAAAGCACAGTCCCTTCATTACATGAATTACCATTCGGAAGGGATTATCTCAGAAAGAACCCATCCACACAATTATTTTAATTATATTTTCCTGGGAACTGGCACTGGTAAAAACCATTAGGCATGCAGATTATTTCCCTTTGTCTTCCTTTTAAAGTAAATTTTTGCCACAATAAATCTGATCAAAATGAGCTTACACAAAATGACTGGCTTAAAGTTTGATCACTGAATTCAAAAAGAATAAAATGACCACTTATAAATAGAGGCTGCTGAAAACTGACTTCAAAAGGGAAAAATGATAAGGAATCGATTTTCAAAAACTTCTAACATATATTTAGTGCCCATTAGCTTAAATCTACTCATTTTAGAAAAATCTTTACAATGCAAATACCCTGTAATTTTTTTCTAATGTTTTATAAGCATGCCTTGACGTTCCTATTTTGTCATTACTGTTTGATTTTAAAGACTAAATTCTAACATAAGCTTACCTGAAAAGAATGTTGTTGCTATTTAACCTAAGCTAATGCATCAAACATAGACATGAGTCAAAAGTAAATTTGTTTCCTGTCTTTGTAAAACTAATTCCTAGGGAAAAAGCTTCTTACAGACTCATTTCCTTTCTCTTTAGGGTGCGATACATAAACTGATAAACTGACACAATTGTAACCACTTTGTTTAAATTTTGGTGGCTAATAAAGGGATGGAAAATTTGAGGAAGAAAGATACAAGATTTGCCTTGCATTATAAGTGCCAGCTGCTCAATGTTATGCCAGGACTTAGAGAAAAAGAGTTACAGCATACATTACATGGTTCATAACATGTCAAAATGCATAACTGGGTTTTGATTAACCTATAATTGCCTTGCAGAAAGTGCTGTATGTATATAATATAAAGCTACATGCTAACGAAGCAAATAAAACCTCATTGCCCTTCCTTCAAGAACAGTTGATTTTGGGGGGATTTAGATTGTTTCCTGGAAATTGCCTGAAAGAAGAGTTTTGATAAGAGCAGAAAGCACCCTTGGCCACCTACCCATTTTGCTGTTTACTGTCACCCTGGGATCCTCTTCTCTGTCCCTCTGCTAGCTCCTGAGCAGTCTCGGAACACACGCTGGTGACTGTGGGCTGCCGTGGGACATTAACTGCAGGTTTACCAGCGCTCAGTGCTGGTGAATGCTGGTCAGCACTAAGATTGGCATTAGCATGCAGTCCAGATGCAGCGAATGGGGGAGGAGTGACAGCAGCCACAGGTGGAGGGGAAGCATGTGATGAAGTGGTTGCATGGGCTGGGGTGAAGGCAGACGATGGTGATGGGATGGATGTGACTTTTGGTGAAGACACAGAACCAAAGGGCCGTGGTGCCTTATTGTAGGCCATGTTGGTTGTGGAAGTGACTTTGGACACAGCAGGAGATGTAATGGGCACAGGTTTAACTACTTCTTTAGGTTCTCCCTATGTAAAATAAAAACAAACACACACAAAAACAAACCAAATACATGCAAAATAGATTCACTGGAAAGAACACAGCTTGCTTTTAAAAAGACAAACATAGTCATGTCAGCAGCTCAAACTTTATGTTTCCAGATAAAAACAATTAAGTTGATATAGCATAACATGCATGCTAACTGTTCCCAACATGCATAACACAGATGTGCACACTGAGTAAATTTTTAAAAATACAAATAAAAGGAGTTTCAAAATATTTAGAAAATGGAGCAAGAAAGCTATCAAAAAGCCTAACGGTCATCATAAGTGACAATTTAGACATCTTCCAAAGAAAAAATTTCAAATAACTCACAATAAATAATACATTGCTAACCAAAATGTTTATTTTAAAATATCGAGTCTCAATTATAATTCCATCTTTCAAATATGTTTAATTACTCTCTAGAGTATAATTATTTGATTCATGCAGAAGCAGCAGCACATTTCTAATTCTTCATTAAAAAAAAAAAAAACAAAGATTGTTTTCATGTAACTCAGAAATGTGTACATTCTAATTAATTACTTTGAAGCAAGAAACTTCTTTTTAAAAATCAGCAACAAAAAAAAAAAAAACAAATGAACAAAACAAAAGCAATCCTTTCCTTATCCTGTAACCCATTCTCTCTCTGGAATGTTTTGAGGTATCATTTAGGGAATAAAAAGGAATAAAATTCTTTCACTTTTCCAAAATAAATATTTAATAGTTACACGAGAAATAAAAAATCATCTTAGATGTTTCTTCATTGCTATCAGCCAAAGAAAAAATAACTAATAAGAAAGATCAATTTCTCCTCAAATTAACAGAATTTCTTACAAATCCCAATGTCATAGCAAGTATAAAGTTTTAAAAAAATTAAAGAAGAAATCCCTACTCACCCTACCATCCTGAAATAAAAACAATCAAATTTTTAAAGCATACAATGGCAGCTCTATCATGTTTAATTTTAGAAAAACAAAGGTAATCAGAATTAATCTTATAAAAATAATAAAGCTAACTGATGGGGGTAAAAGTAGCTTATTACCTCAGCAAATCAGTATAATAAGTAGTTTAATAGAAAGGCACAAGTAAAATTAAAGAGAAAACCCCAAACAGCATAAAACAGATGTATCTGAATAATGGTTTGGAACAATTTGAGGGGATATATGAGAGAAAAAGGACATTTGCCTATACCCTAATTCAAGAATAGTTGGAAAATGTAAATTAAAACTTATTAATATGAATAAAATGAGATTAAAGACTTGTAATCTTCATTTTTCAGTAAGCACTTATTATCTTTAAAATATGTGACTAAAAACATGCAAATTAAAAGTGAATGTAAAAATTTTTGACATGTCATTGATAATATATGGCACTGAAAAAATGTTTTAAAATATAGGTATAATTAGAGAAATGGTAATTCTGTATGTGTTGATTTCTATTTGCCTGTCATCTTTAAAAGAAAGAACTGTGAGGAAAACTATACTGAAACTGTAAGTTGTCAATACTGTCTGCTAAAGGAATGGAAAGTACAGTATAGTTCACGAGGGACTATCAAATGGTACCCTGGTGACAGCAGGTTAGAAACACACCTTTTGCACAGGAACTGGTTCAGGCCTGGATGTAGCAGGTGCTCTGGAGGGCAGGAGAAAAAAAGAAAAAAAAAAAAATGAACTTTTACAACTTGCAAACTTATCAATGGAATTTACATTATTATATAACTTCGTATACTAAATCATTAGATTTATAATTTCGTAACTCATGACTTTGACTATTCACAATCTACTAATTAGTTATGAAACTAAAATACTGCAAGATCCAAGGATGTTTCCTTACACACAGTAGTTCTCAAATAAGGGAAGACAAACACCAACCATGTTTACTAATGCACTCATGTTTGATCTTTAAATTAAGGCTATTTCCTGTCCAGAAGGGCAAAGGATAATAAACATGATTTTGGATCCTTGAGAAGTTCCTGAAATATCTCATCTGAATTATATCCAACATTTTTTTTCTACTTCCACATCTTTTATTTATTTATTTTTATTTAATTAATTTATTTTTGTTACAGATGTTTCTCCTTTTTTCCCCATTGACACCCTCCTCCCATCCTCCTCCTACCCCCACCCAGCATTGTTGTCTATGTCCATTGGTTATGCTTACATGCATAAGTTCTTTGATTTATCCTTTCCTTCCCCCTTGCCCCTTCTTCTGAAGTTTGTCCGTCTGAACCCTACTTCTATGTCTCTGAGTCTTTTTTGTTCATCACCTTACTTTGTTCATCATATTCCACAAATAAGTGAGATCACATGATACTTGTCTTTCCCTGACTGGCTTATTTAGCTTAGTATAATACTCTCCAGGTCTCTCCATGTCATCTCAAAGTATAAGAGAATTTTCTTTCTTACAGCTGCAAGTATTCCATTCTGTATATGTACCACAGCTTTTTTATCCACTCATCTATTGATAGACACATAGTATCTGACTTTTCCCCTAACATCCATGAATCCATCCATAGGATATTGGACTCTTTGTGAAGATACTGAATAAATTCTAGTTGAATTGAGTCACTAAAGGAGTATTTATTTTGAATTCACAGTCTTTTTTTTTTTTTTTACTTTCTTCAGATTGAATTCACAGTCTTAACTGCTTGTGCAAGTTTATTATGCTAAAACGACACTGTAAGTTCTTCCAGTTCTTCCATTAGGCTATAAATTAAGTGAAGGTGATGACCATGTCCCATTTGTGTCTATCAGTACTGTGCCTGGCATGAAAGAGGTTATCAGTAATGAATGTCAAAAGGAGAGAGCAAGAAAGGACAAAAATCCACATACAGTATAGACTTACCTATTTCCAAATTCAAATTAATTATTTTTAATGTATGCTTTTTGTATCATTACTGTTCCTTTGGTTAGCATGGACTAATAGTAGCAATAATTGATTTAGAGCAATTATCTCATACAATCATTAAAAATAACCAAAGTGGAAATTATCATTACCCCAATTTTTCAGATGAGGAACTTCAAAGTCAGAGTGAGTAAATTACTTACTATGATGGAGCTGAGGCCAAAAGTTCTTATATATTACTATATAATGGCTGTATATTGATAGTAACTAAATGATTGGTAAAGTTTCTAATGATTTAAAGGCTATTTATCCAGTATTAAGGTATATGCTATGTTTAATAATGCCAGAAGCAGTCTAGCTCCTCTTAAATCACACAAGATTGAGGATAAGTCATGCAGTGTAAAATTCAAGAATGTAACCGTAGTAAGTAAATAAGTGCTCATTTTAAACTACAAACCATGAGACTGTTTCACTTATAGAGAAAGGAGATGCTAGCAAAGGATATTTGGTCTCTATGAGCATAACCTAGTAACACACTCCAAACATTTTCAGCAGCAACTGAATTTTCCAATTACTAATTTGCTTAGCTAGGGCAAGCACTGACTGAATAATTGGCTAACCTAATGAGAGGCAGAATAGATGCTAACATTTGATTACTGCAATACAGAATTATACTCTGCACAGTTGCATAACTTTCCATGTGTACTCTCAAACAGACTTTCCATTCGTACTCTCAAGCTTCTTTTTTAGCTTATAGGGTTATTATAACAAGCAAAGGAAACAAATTCAAGTACAGAACAGTAGAACCTTGCTTGCATTGAAATTTCACAATAAGATGCAAATCACAAAGGATCTGTATATCATAACCACCCAAGCCATTATTGACAATTTACCATAATAGAAAGGATGGTATCCTTTTTTTCATTTGGACACTTAAAGGAGCATGAAATTCTTCTAGCAACATAAAAACAGTTTATAAAGAAGAACACAATGTTTAATAGTCACTAGGTTTACAAACAGAATAAAATGCACAGTTCCTATGTATATGAAAATCAAAACCTTAGTTTTTTTCTAGATGTTTGTTCTTATTTAAACAGCATTAGCAAAACAGCAAAAGCGCCCAGCCGGTGTGGCTCAGTGGTTGAGCGTTGACCTAAGCACCAAGAGGTTTGCTCCATTCTCTGCCAGTCTACGCTGGCCTACACTGGTCTGCTCCACTCTATTTCAATGAAACATCGGTGTTTCAGCTCCAGACTGGGAAACACAGTCTTCAGTGGAAAGGGAAATCGCACTCAGAGCCAGAGGAGCACTGACTTATATAAACAGAAGTCCACACCCCTGGTCCCCTGCTTGGTCTGTCCTCATGCAAATGAGGATTTCAGATCCTTGCAGTTTGGTCCAAAAGGCACTGTCCTAATTGGTCATAATGGAGCCACTCTCATTGGCCAGCAAAGATGTTGCTGGGGGACATAGCTGTGCAGCTCCAATCGGACGGGAAAGCCTCACTCCTCTAGGTTGAAATAGTGTAGCCAGGCAGTTTGGTGCACAGGCAGGCAATTCGGTGCACAGGCAGGCAGTTTGATTCAGGCTTCTCCCTGAGGTGCAGATTCTGTGAGAAGCCCCTGGGCAGAGATGGCTGCTAGGCTTTTTTTTTTTTTTTTTTAATTTCAGCCCAGTTAGTCACCAGGGGCCCTTCTTAGTAGGTGTCTTCTCCCTCAGGGTCCACATTTAGTAAAGACTTCTAAATAAATAAAGTTTAAAAACTAAGGTATAATTGTTAAAAATTATTCTACATATTTCTCTTCAAATACTGGGAAATATGCAATGGGATAATATATCTCCTTTTCAACCACAGTGATCGTCACAAGTCACTTATGTGTACTGTGTGTTGCAAACCAGCAGAGATCCTGGCAATGGCTCAGTGCCACGGACTCAACAATTTGCTATTGTTCTCTCTTCCCTTAGTGTGAAGCCACTGTGCAGGAGTAAGCCTTAAAGGTGAGAGCCTACTACTGCCTTGGCCCAGCACTGTCCTCAGCTCATGGAATTCAAAGAACAAAGCCGTCAGTGTGGCTAGAACATCTATTTTGAAAGTTGATTGATTTCTGTAAGAAGAGTATCCAAAATAAAAATCCTTGATGCATTACAAACAGTTTCAGAACTTCTGGCTGAACAGTTGAAAGGAGTTCTAAGTTATAACAGATGATATTAGAAACTAGAATTGTGATGCCCTGGATAGAAGGAGGTATAGGAAAAATAATGCTATACATAAGCAATAGCTCTATCAAGGACGAGATTCAAGTGAACCAAGTAAAAATGTATCTTATGAATACCCAATGAATGGTGTTATATTTTTTATGGTTTTCAATAATTAATGCATTTTAACACTGCTTTATAAAGTAACATGTTTTTAGTTAATAAAGTAGCCAATGAATGTTTACAGTAGTAGTGTTTAAGAATGAGGAATTAAGCAACAGAACTAGACTGATAAAGATTATTCACATTACTCATTATGTCTCCATGACTCCTTCAACCATATCTAATATACTTAACTCATAAACAATCATACAGAAACGAGGAGGATTTTTGTTCATCTTCTGTGAGATGAGCTCTATCTGAGTTTCCCACAGCACAGCCATCTTTGGGTTCAGTGACCTCAGGACCCATAAACACTAGGGTACATCATTAATCACTTTAATTGCAAAGTTGTCAATTTGCAATAACAAAGTAACTCCAGAGGGGGAAAAAGTGAGCATTCAAGTGTGCAGAGGGATGTCTTTTATTCAGTTTTCCCATATTTTAATGTACTTCCATTCAGTCTACTTTCCTAAAAACTTAAACCTTAAATATTTAAATCACATGGCAAAGTATCAGTAGTTTTTTCCTACATAATTTGAGAATATGTAAAGATTATATTTTCTATTAGCAAAAATACAAAATAGTTATTATGCATCAGCACCTTCTAGCTTATAGAAGACTGTACACACCACATACAGATGCACTCATACACATACTCTCTTTCTCTATTTCACTACATCTTCTCTATCTTATAATGGGAACTAATAAAGTACATTTTTTCCCTCCAGGGAGAAAGAAATAACCCAAGCTGGACAGACTTTGAAGAGTGTCTTTATCCTAGGGATAAAGACTGTAAGACAGGAGTTAGGGAATTACTCTAGCCCATCTGAGTATCTGGGATACCTTCCCTGCTTGGGCTTGGCTTGAAACTGGGTGTGGCTTTGATATATCCAGTACAGACAGTTACTACTTGGTAATTACTTCCCTAGGTAAGGGCCAGGGCTTCTATTGTAAAGACCCTTTTTTTCAGGTTGATGGGGTCTGAGAAGAAATTTTCATCAACCAATTCTAAAAGCCAGAGAGGGTGAGAGGGAATAAAGAAGAAAGACATCTATGAGCTTCCCTAATCCACGTGGTTACACTATTTTCAAGGAGAAACAATGCAGAGGGGAGTAAGGAGAGTAGACAAGGGGAGCATTGGGCTAAATTTAAAATGACAAAAATATTTCCCATTATACAAATAATGAGAGCATCCATATCAGCATTACAGCTACCATTTATTAGGGTCTGAATAGTGGCTTAACACTGAATTAAAGGCCTTATGCACAATATATCGCTTAAGTTTCAGAAATAAAGCCTAGAAATATAAAATAACTTGACCACTAAAAAGCTTAACACTAGCTCAGCTAGTGTAGCTCAGTGGATTGAGCGTTGTCCCACGGACTGAATGGTTCTGGTTCAATTCCTGGTCAGGGCACATGCCCAGGTCC